GGTTAATTATTAGACTGTCTGCAAAGACAGAATCAGAGATGGTTAGCCTGGGAGGTGGATGGACAACATGTCTAGGAAATATAGTGCCAGGCTCTGCATTAACTCTGTTATTTTAAAATGGAAACTTGTAAGTAAGTAGTTTAGGGTCCAAATGCAGCTATTTTGTTTTCTTTAACATTTTCATTTTTTTGCACTATCAATGAAAATATCTTCTGTGGTGAGAAATGTGGAAGAGGACAATTAACCCTCCCTCTGTAGTACTGAGAATTCACATACAACATCACATGCTACAGAGAGAAACTGATTGGAAACTGAAAGTGAAACTGACCAGTCAGCTGTCATTTTTCCTGGGTAGAGGCTTGCAACAGGTGATGAAAGTTAACAAGATTTAACAAGATTACAAATCTTTCAAGGAAATTAAAAGGTGGCAAATTCAAAATTGAAAAAATAAAAAGAGAGAAAACACTTTTTGATAAGTTGTGCTTAAACTGTGGAACTCACTGCCACCAGAAGTTATTGAAGTCAAGAACTTAGGAAGATTCAAAGGGAAATTGAATATTCCCATGCATCGTAATAATATCTGCCATTGCCATTATTAATGGCAACAAATGTTGGCAGGGGTATTAAACCTCATACATCAGGGTTTAAGCTTGTCTGTATTAGAGTTCAGGATGAGTCTTGGCATGAGACACATTTTCCTGCATCTGCATGCTGCAGGCTTCTTACACTTTCCTCTGATCCAACTCATGTTTTCCGCTGCCAGGGACCCTGCTGGGCATAGCACAGATGCCCCTGACCCAACAGAGATGCCCCTGGGAGCCTGGAGGTTTGCAGTGGCTGGGGATCTGCCGGAGGCTTCTATGTTGACAGTGTCAGTGCGTTGTAAATTCATCTCTGGTTCCCAGCCTGGCTCTTCAGACAGGGATGTTCAATAACTCTCCAGGAGGCTGCTATTCTCCCTCGTCTTCCCACCCCTCCCACTCGTATTAATATCTCTGCATTCATCTCCTGGCCTCCCTCATTAGAGCGTGAGGAATAATGGAGCTCTGGCTGAGCACAAAATATGCTGTAATAGGGACATTGTGATCTGCGAGGGAAGCCTGAATCATTCGACTCCCAGGTTATAGATTTAGGCTGGGGGTTTCACAAGAGCCTTTGGGAGTTAGGAGCCCAGATTCAATAGGAAGTCTATACAGCTTGGGCTCCTAATTCCCTTTGACTCTTGTGAATAACCCAGCTTGGAGTGATGCATGTTTTGAGGAGAAGGGTAGGAGTGGCTATTTGAAGTATATGTAATACAGAAGTTAAAATATATCTCCCCCACTAGCTACAGGCTTAAGCACACTCTTAACTGTGGAACATGTGTAAGAGAAGGTCTCAATGAACCCAGCCTAGAAAGCAGAACTGAATATGGGGCCAACCTGGATAGGACTGGGGGTGATTCAGTGCCATCTACCTGCCTAACTATCTCTGGGCAGCCTCTACCTGTAGACCACATATATAGCCCTGGCCTTCACCTGCAGTGGAGCCCCTGAGGGTGGTGGTAGACCAGGGCTGAATTTGGTTAGGGGTTGTGACATAGGCCTTATGGGCCCCTGAAGGTGAATCTGGATACAGACCAGAGCTTTTGCAGTGTGAACTGGTACAGCTCCACTGAAGTGAATGGAGTTAGCCTGGTTTATAGCAGACAGCTGAACATCTGGTGTCTGGAGCACATCCCCTTCTCCATATGGATTCCCCAACCTACTACTTCCCTTTGCATCCCCATTCTCATACAGCCCCTAGAGCTCACATGACTTGCATTCTGCATTAGCCCATATGATCTTCACAACATCAGCAATGAATGACAAAAATGTGAACGCTCACGTATGGGCTGGAAGCTGTTTGGACATCAAGAGAAGATCGTGCTGAGTCTCGCAGAGAGCTCAGGAGACAGGGGGGAATTCAAAGTGGGGGCTACTTGAGAGGGACTGGATAAAACTGGGGATAGGCAAGGCCTTATGAGGTTTTTATATCACTGGTTCAAACCCAGCTGTGGCCATGTTGTAACATTTTAATGACTGGGATGGTTATAAGCTTGATGACCTCAGTCCAGCTCCTTGCAGACATGAGTTCAGTTACCAGCAACCGATACGATGGATGCCCTTAGCAACTTCAACAAGAGGTACCAAGACAGAATGTGTCATCAGCGTGTACAGATACTCCTGTTAAAACTGGGGCGAGGTGACAGGCAATGGAATCCAGCATCTCCTGGGGCTCAGACTGTACCTCTTCCGTAGGTAGAAAGGAGCTCTTTTCTCTGGGTCTATCAATCTAGGATCCATTCCATAAACCACTGAGTTGGGATGCCAGCACACTTGTCCCCTGTGACAACCTTCCATTGAATAGGTAGAGATCCGTTATTATATATAAGTTAATGAGAGAAGTTCAAGGAAAGAGTAGGAATATAGAAGACTCCTTCCAGCATTGGAGGAGGTGGAAACTCCCTCAGCCAGGACAGAATCATTTAGATTCTCATTCAGGCTTTGATTCCAGGGTTTCTTTTCCTTTCCCCAGGGGGTGGGGAGTGGCCAAAAAACATAAGGGCCACATGCCAGCTGGCTATAACCAGGCTTCTATTATTGAGACTGCAATTTTTCGGGTACAGTGTATGACTCATCTGTCTCACAAAAGCACCTAGAAATGCCACCCAAAATTAGGGTCCCACTTTGCTTGGCCTTGCACAAATAGCCACTAAGGCTGTCTCAAAAAAATTCCATTTTAAATAGACAAGACAAGGAGCAAAAGAAAACAAAGCTCATTATCCCCATTTTACAATCAGGGAACTGAGGCCTAGCGGGATACAGTGATTTAAGGTGATACAGCCATTCAGTAGCAAGTTGGGATAAATTTTGGGTTGATACCCAAATGAAGTTACTTTGGTGTCAGAGGGCTGGAGTTGCACCACTTACAGGAGAGTCAACAGGTCCAGTAGGAATCAAACCCTTCGCTGTGCCCCCAGTGAGGGAGACAATGGTGATTGTGAGCTCCAGAGAGTAGTGCCAACCAGAGCTGCCTACTGGAGGGTAGTGTTGGCAGTCTGGCCCTACCAAGCCAGATTCCAGGTAGCTCAACTCAGAGTTCAGGAGAACAGGGTTAGTGAATGGGTCCAAAAGGCCCATCATGGCCATGATCAGAGACATCTGTCTACCCTGATCACAAGCAAGGGCTTGGTCTCTCCTGCTTCAGTCCCCAACAGACTGGGAAGATGAAGGAAGAGAAGAGATGAAAAAGAAATTGGAGGGAGAAGGAGGGGAGCAGAGAGGGGCTAAAGCAGCAGCACACTAGTGAAGATCAGGGCTTGGGCTTGATGACTCTGGATGCTCCTGGTGCCCCTGTGGGCTTCTGCCCAAAATAGGTGCCTCATTGCCTGGGTGCAGCCCTAGAGGACCGGGGAGTGGGGAGTGCTGCCAGATCCAGACGGAAATATTTAAATCGGGCCTCCTTAATACTGTTAGGCATTTTCCTCTCTCTCTCTCTCTCTCTCTCTCTCTCTAATTCTGTTGCAGTCATTACCCAGGGAGCGGATACACAGGGCCCTATGGGGAGTTCTAATGGGCCGATTCAATTTCAACTGGATGACGCCACTTAGCCAGGCATTAAGAGCTACAGCTCCGGGAAGGCAAACGCCAGAGAGAGGGAGAGGGTGCGAGAGAGAGTGATTATAACGAGGAGCAAGAACTCCCTCCCGCCCGTCCTCCACGCTCGCCCATTCACAACCGCTCCGGAGAATAGCTACATTCACAAAACAGCCAGC